TGGGATGTCACAATGCGCCTGTGAAAGATTTTTTTTATAACCGGCATTACACGCCGCTTAAGATGTTTTGAACGTGTTTAAAAATAGAGAAAATAATATTTAATGAACAACTGATTGAATCACATTATTGCTAACCTAGTGTGAGGTACTAATTAAAAATAAAAATAAAAAAATTGTACAAAAGAATTAATTATTAAAAAAACACTGTTAAAATGACAAAAATACCCTTGCATTATTTGTGCATTCTTTTAGGTTGTTTTTTTTTTTTTTTGGTTTTGAGGGCATTTTTGTCTAAATATTTTTAGAGAAGCTTGTGACCCCAAAATGAGTTGTTGACTTTATATATAAAGATATTCGATGTTGCTCCCTTGTTCACATCATTTGGGAAGCTACCTGTAATAGTTTTATGTTGTTCCTGCATGCATGTTGTACGTATCAATGTGAATCACTTAGGGCCGTAATTAGTATTGAAAAAACATGCACAGCCACAATGTTTCCTACTCTGGATAAATCGAGTATTGAAAAAACATCCAACAATGTTTCCTAATCTGGATACATCGAATCCGACACAAATCTCCTTCTTTAGTCTATAAGCATCGTGATTTCTGCCTAAAACTTTTCGGCAACAAATTTATGTCTCATAATTTAGTATGACGAGTTGACCAAATTAAGCATGATGGGTTTCTATAATCTATAAGTTAATTGAGCATTAAGATCATTATATCCAACTCCAAGAATATCCAACAACTAGCCTGTTACTTCTTCAACCAAATATCGATATTGTCCTCCAAATTGAATCTTATTATCCATACATTATTGGTAGGGATTATGTATTTGTACTCAAGAGTAGTGGAGCTAGAAATTTTTATATAACTCCACCCTTTTAGTACTTTTTACTGGTATTATGTATAGCTTCAATGGCAATACATTAACCAGAATGAGATACGAAGCTATGTTTGAAGTTGGGAGATAATGAGTGGTCTTTGTATTTTTAAAATAGTTGAAACTGTTTTTGAATTGATCCTTAGTAAAAATACAAGTAAATCTTGTAAAATCACTTAAAATGCTCCTTGAAAAAGCACATAACTGATGCTTCTTGCAGAAAAAACTTAAAAGTACTTTTGAAACCCAAAAATATTTTCTCTAAAAGTGCTTTCATTCATTATAAAAGCACTTCGAAGTGAGCCACCATTATTAAACCAATGAATCTGCTACACAGCTGATGAGGAAAATAAAGACCACCTAATATCTCCCAACTTCATACATAGCATCATATATCATTCTGGTAATGTATTGCCATTGAAGCTATACATAATACCAGCAACAAGTACAGAAAGGGTGGAGTTATAAATTTTTTTCTAGCTCCACTCTTGAGTACAAATACATAATCCCTACCAACATCAAGTCGATCAAAGGGTCTAAATTTAGCCAAAATGGTCCATGGGATTGGCAATATTCCTCACTTTGGTCTCTAATATTTGAAATCAATATAAGTGGTCCATGAGTTTGTCAATCATCAATCATTTTGGTTATTCCGTGAAATTTTTTGTTAAATAAAGATCAAAATGATGAAAATAACAAAAATACCCTCAATTTAATAAACAATGAGCCAAAATAATTGACAAAAAATTGAGAGTATTTTATCATTTTGGTCCTTATTAATGGAAAATTTTCATGAAATGACCAAAATAATTAATGGTGGACAAACTTAGGGACCACTTCTATCGAATTCAAATCTCAGAAACCAATGTGAGGAGTTATATCAATTTCAATGATCATTTTAACTAAAAAGCCATCAATTTATAATACCTATGTATTTGGTTGAAGATAGGTTGAAGGGAGATTGGGAGATTGAAGAGCACGAATGTCTAGAAACTCTCAGTTTGACACAGGCAGCTGGTACAATTTTGATAACACATTCAATATGGTCGTAACCGAAATTTGATTTTCCAAATACGATGTTGGAACTGTCGGGAATTAGTTTAAGGTGTTTTTCAAACAATATTCAACGCGTTTAAAAGTCTAAGCCCCGACTAATTCACAATTCATTTTTTTTTAATACATTGATACGTTTAAAATATCACAGTCATTTTTTTTTTTAAATATTATCGTCCTTTTTGCACTCACAATTCAATAAAAAAAATTGGTCTAAAAACTTTAAAAACCAAACAGTCTAAATAAAATTTAAAAAATAGAATTTGGTCGGCTAAATCTAAGTATCTCTAACATATAAACAGTGATGTCACTTAGTGCTAGGGCTGGGTTCGGTTCAAAATAGTTCGGTTTTTTACCAAAACCGAAACCAAACTGAAATTTCAGCTCAGTTAAAAAAAAATTCGATTTTTTTCGGTTTGGTTTTTTTTTTTTTTTTTTTTTTCTTCAATAGCAAAAAAAATCTTTAAGAAAACAAAGCTTGCAGCCATTTTGTAATACATGTTCCAGTGGAGTATAAATAAATTCCAGAGGATTAAATTAAGATCTTAAGGCCCTTTCCCACAGCTGCTATTTCCCTCAGATTCACTGCAGCTGCTTCGATAGCTCCGAACATAACAAGCTTGAACAATCAGCCCCAAAGCTCGCAATCACTAAAGTATTATCAATCTTTTCGAAAGCCTCTGCAAGCACATTCAATGTCTTTAGGAAACGGAAAAAATGTTTATTAGGAATCCAAATAGCATCACTCATTTGTTATTCAAAATGTCAGTTCTATGACCAGATAAAACTTCATTGTACTGGAATAAAGTATGATTCAATAAAAGAAAATAAATATCCTAGCCCAGATTTAGAGACAACTACCTAACAATTCAAAGAAGAATGTCTTACTGACAAAGACTGAGAAATCGATGTGTCTGACAAAGACTAGGAATTCATTTGTAAAAACATATCAATTCAAATGTGTCTGAGAAATCATACCTCTTCTTTATTCCCCCAGCTATCATAAGTAACGAAGTACCCATCCACCGGCAAGCCTCGAGCTCCTTCTCCTCTAGCTCCGCAAATGAGATTAAAGACGAAATTATTGAGGAAGATGATAAGTCATCCATTTCTGTTAATGAAAAATAGTTTGGTAAAAACTAAATGTGCTTAGTTTTGTTATTTGTTGTGATTAGTTAGAATGGTTAAAGTTTAGTTAAGGCAGTTAAGGGTATAAATGTAAAGAGCCAAAAGCTATATATATTTACATCCATGTAATTGTTTATTCATTCAATGAAATACAATCTTGTAGAAGAAGTTTTACTTTTCTTTATGGTATCTCGCCATTTCGCTTCATAGCATCGTTTCCACCTTCCGCTTTGATCGATCTTCTCTTGATCGTTTCTTGTTGTTTCAACTTTGATTCTTCAGCTTTTTTTTTTCTTCTCCGATCTCACTTCTGTTCGTTGATTTGTTCTTGTTTGGGTCATGGCTTCTCCCTCTGAATCGCCTCTGATTGGATCGTCTTCTCCGATTCAAAACCCTAATTTTTCTTCTAATCCCCTTTCTCTGACTTCATATACTGCTCTTACGATTCACAAAATTGGAAGTATGGTGCCGATTAAACTGAAAAGCTCCAACTATCTTCCATGGTGAGAGTTGTTTGCTCCCATTTTTAGGTGCTACAAGCTTTTGAGCATAATTGATGGATCTTAGATCTGTCCACCGCCTCTCTTGCCTGATCGTTCGCTGAATCCTGCTTTTGAGGAATGGTATGAAAAAGATCAAAATCTCCTGATTTGGTTAAATTCCACACTTTCTGAAGAGATAATTTCGTTCACGGTTGGGGTTTCGTCCACTCGCGAGCTTTGGGTGAAGCTTGAACAGCGTTTCGGTGGTGTTTCGGAGGCTAACATTCATCAATTGCACTCGCGCCTTCAATCGGTTCAGAAAGGCTCCAATTCTATCTCTGTATATCTTCAGTAAATCAAGGAAATTGCAGATTCATTACATGCTGCAGGTGCTTCCGTCTCCGATCGTGATCTTATTGTTGCTACTTTACATGGTTTGCCTAATGAGTTTGAGTCATTCATTGACTCTATCATGCTTCGCTTGTCTTCTACGTCTCTTGATGAGCTCCACGGTCTCTTACTCACCAAGGAACTTTTTATGGCTCGACGGAAGACTGTCACCTCAACCTCTGCTGTTGAACCATTTCAGGCTTTCTCGGTGCAATCTCAGCCTTCACTACTTTCTACTCCTTCTGCCTTTGCTGCTCAGTCTTCACCTCTTCAATCTGCCTCTCGATACAACTCCAATCGTGGCAAGTCTCCTCGGGGTCACTTCTTTTCTAATCGGGGCAATCGCAATTTTCAACCTCATCGTGGCAACTTCACTTCAAATCGTGGCAATCGGACCTATCAAGGCTCGCGAAATCACCAAGGTTCTTCCACCTTCAAAGTCCCTTGTCAAATTTGTGGTTCTACAAGTCATGAGGCTATTGACTGTTTCGATCGTATGAATCCGAATATCTGTGGTCGTATTCCTCCAGCTAAACTTGCTGCAATGTGTGTGCATCACTCTGCTAAATCATCTCAGCCTTGGTTAATTGATTCTAGTGCAACATCTCACATCACCAATGGTGTTGCAAATATCTCTTCTCCCACTCCCTACACTGGAGAGGACAAAGTGTATATTGGAAATGGTAAAGGTTTGTCCATTCATAATGTTGGTTCTTTTTCTCTACATACTCTTCATCATTCTTTTAAGCTGCGGAATGTTCTTCATGTTCCTTCCATGGCACATAATCTTTTGTTTGCTTATCAATTTCTTAAGGATAATGATTGTTCATTGACACTTGACCCTTATGGATCCACTGTCAAGGATCGTACTTCGGGGATGATGCTTTTGCGGGGACAGGTAAGCAGAATGCAAAGAAGGAGGAGAGTGACTAGAACTTTGCAATGGATAGAAACCATCTCTAACCTGTCCCCGCAAAAACATCCTCCCCGAAGTACGATCCTTGACAGTAACTAAACTCAATGTTATTTAAGACACTAATTTCATCCTTGCACTTCGTCATTTGAAAGGTAAGTCAGAATATATATTTTTAAGCCAAGCTTGTTGAGGAAGTCAATCTTAAATATTTTATTTCTAGTGGAGTTGAAACTGATATATGTGAATGTTAAACTAATCATATAACACCATATATACTATGTCGTCCAAATTGAAATTGAGTGGGATCATAACAAAACCAACTTCTAGATCATAACAAGACCACTTCTAGATCATAACAAAACTAACTTCTCGATCATAACAAAGTTAAAACTTTTTGCATGAATTGATAATCAAAAACAAGGTTTGCAGAATATGGGCTTAATAAAATTGGCTAGAGAAATGCGTATTTTGCTCTCCATTTAAGTTCCCTTCTTATAGTATAGAAATTTAGAGTCTATAATCATTTTGTTTTCAATTTTTTATTAACCTTGAAAGTTATTTGGTAAATCCTTTCTTTTAAGCAAGGAGCCTTGTAAATTTTGTAGTTTTCTTCGAATCTATATATTATGGGCCTAAAATTGTAACGCAAAACTAAAACTACGTTAATTTTGAACAATTTGAAAAGTCCAAAACATCAACTTTCAGAATATGGCAGCAACAAATATACATTAAAACCTCTCTAAAGAAATAATATATAAGAAATAACCTCAAGTCATAACAAATTATGGTCCTAAGTTGGGACTAGTTATGTATAGAAATAAACTCCATACTATAATAAGATATAATTTTTCTTGATTCCATCTAAGGAAACACACATCCACATAGCTATAATTTTTGCTTCCAGTTGGGGTTTGATGCTTTCTTTTTTGCACAATCAACACTAACAATTTTAGTTAACTGATTTTCATATTGACCTTGGGTGGACATGACTGATTTGATAGAGAAAAAATGAAATGTATTCAACACCCTTTATATACACAATGGGACATTGGGCATTAAAGAACAACTCCAAGGAGTACAAGTAAATAAAGTACATATGTGTAAGAAATAAAATACTTGGGTACCTACGAAGTTCTATTTAGAATATCCAGCTTTCATGAAGGAATAACTAAGTTAGTAAAAAATATTTTTAAACTACACCTATTTCTGTAATAACCTCTCCAAAATCATAAAATTTGTTTGCTCCCAGCTTTATGGGCTTTACTACATAACATATTAATGGGTGAATTACCTATCTCTCCAATCACTTTTTTATTTTTTATTTTTTTTTATTGATTGCCACTTCGTTTGTTTAATTTATTGATAAAATAACCCAATTTCTAAGCTACGGTGTTAGAAAAGACAATCAAAAACATAATTTGGAAGCAAAATACAATAATCTAAGGTATTTTGTTTGTGAATGCAAAATCCAAAGTTGTTTCCAATATGAACTTGAACAGAGACACAGGCATTTTAAAAATGTGCATAACATGAAAAGTAGACGGTGAAAGCGATGGTTTCTAAGAGATGCAAACAGATCATAAGGTCAAGATTCAGCAAATAATCCAACGGCTTCACATGAATATATGCTAGGGCGGGCCCCCGTTTTTTGCTTATTTCGCCTGTATTCATTTCGGCTGGGCACGAAGCTTCAACTATATATCAGCGTAAAAGTTTCAGTCAAGCTCCTCCTCCTTTCCAAACCCTCTCCATTAAATTGCTCTCTATTTCTTGCTTTTCATGCTTGCTTGGATTTTGGGTTTTGTGAGCTTTGTTTCTTTTTAGAGAGAGAGAGAGAGAGAGGATGAAGTGTAGCAGTGAGTCTTCTTCCAAACCGGACAGGAAGACAGTGGAGAGAAACAGAAGAATTCAAATGAAAAGTCTCTGCTTCAGGCTTGCTTCACTTGTCCCTCCCCAACACTTCAAAACCACCAACTCCAAGGTACATATAGATCATTGGAAAATTTTATTAGAACCCCTTTTCTTTTTATCTCTACACCTAGCTTAAATTTTAGATATAAATTGTCTATTTTAGTCTCTGTAATTTTGGTTACAAATTAGGGTTTGGTTATTGTAAAAGGAGGTAGAGATCAGAAACAGTTAATAATATATATATAAAGGCATAACCATAAACGGGACGGAAATGAAAATGAATATTGTGTATTGTGACAAGATTAGTTTCAAGGAAATGAATTGTGTGTGTCAGAGAGAGAGAGCAGAAGCAACATGTATGTATTAGGTTTTTTAATTTCCAGAACGTATGTATTAGTTAAGTAAGTCAAATTCATATTCCTAGTCCAACTTACTTAGATTCAGTTGTATAAATATACTTGAGCTCTCTATATAATTGATAGATCTGGTGAAACATACGAATATTGGAGCTTTCGATTTCCGTCGTTCTCTCAAGAGTTTTACCCTATTTTCGGTTTTCTTCATATTGTTCTAGAGGGACCATCAATGGAGGGACTGCTTCTTAGTTTTTTATTTTTTGAATAATTGATTTTGTTGGGGTGTAAACAGAAATTATATTGGATTGGGTTTTCATAAGTGAGGATAATTTATGAATTAATATTAGGTGTAAAAAGATAATGATAGAAAAATCACCAAGAATTTATGCGTAGAAAGTAAGTTGAGAGTAGAGATACAAAACATAGGTTCGAATAAAATTTCCCTATATCATTTAGGACATGTTAGTTTGTGAGTTTGAAGTTTAAATTTGACATTACCATTTGAAGGAAAAGGATCATCGCCAAATCCTTTTCTTAGGGATCCTAGGCATCCTGTGATCGTGACCATTCATCGTACATCATGCGGTCAAAAATCATTTCAAAATTTAAATTTTAAAATTAAATATAAATAGTACCTAACGAAAATTGACCGCAAAATGTACGATGAATGGTTACGACCCTAGGATCCCCAGGAAAAAGATCCAATGAGGATCCTTTTCCTCCTTTCAAACTATATTTTCCTTAACTAAAACCCATATTCTCTAGTTTTCTTGACTAAGACCATCTTCAACCATTAGCCTAAAACCTAAAATTTTTAGCCCAGAAAATTTAGGTTTTAAACCAGAAGCTCAAACCCTTAGACCATCTCCAATGGTGGGTTAAATGCTAAATTTCCCCCCAAATTTCCCCTCCCAAACACTCTCCAACCCACGCTAAAACTTTGGGCTAAATGCCCAATGCTAAAGCTGGGCCAAATACCCCCCCAAATTCCCTCCCCATGCAAGTGGACTCGTGGGTTGTTGGGCCAGTCTTGGACCGCCCACGCTCTAGCGTGCCCCATACGGTACGCTTGCAAAGGTTTCCCGACAGGGGTGGGCCCCGCTGTCAGGCGTGTGTCGGCCATCCACAAAAACCCAACGACTATTATTTTGATCCTATGGCTGGGCTTTAAGGACCGTTGATTGATCCAACGGTCCATATTCAAATTAAATTTTTTTAGAATATGTTATTTTAAAATACATTGAATCCAACGGCTGATATCGAATATAATCAAATCTAACGGTAAAAAAAAGATATAACGGTCCAAATTTAAATCCAACGGCTAAAATAATTAAAAAAATTATTTAACTCAAAATTCACCCAAATACTCTATAAATACGTATGTATTTGTTCAAACATCCATACAAAACTCAATTTTCTCTTACAATTCTTCCAATTTATCTTTCTACCATTTCTTTCCATTTCCAAATTGTTGAATGGTTGGTGAATTGAAAGTTAGCCCAGGGTTGAAAGATTGGTAAAAGTTGAAGGCTTGCTTTGTGGAAAATTTAGTGATTTTTCAATATTTATCGAAATTTAAATTTTTTTAGATTAAAATGGTCATAAAATTAATTTACGATAGTCTACATATTTATTTATTTTTAAATTAATTTAAGAAAAAAAAAATAGCTTAAGTTCATTGTTTAATAATTCTGACGCGAGCAGAACTTCCTAGTGGGTCACCTATCCTGAGATTGCTCTCACGCGAACTCGCTTAACTTCGGAGTTCCGATGGAATCCAAAGCTAGTGAGTTCTCAAAATGCCTCGTGCTAGGTAGAAATGAGAATATACATATAAGACTTACAAGATCCTCACCCCTAGGCTATGTGAGATCTTACAACAATAAATTAACCTAAAACAGCTTCCACTATTGCATATATACTCCAATCCCTAATGCACAAAACAAAAGCTATATGTTCCACACAATTTTTACCTACAATATAGTCTAATTTACCTATTCCATCAAACCAAAATTTAAAGGATCTAATTTACTTCCAAAATGGTCTAATTTACCTACATGATTTACGTGCATTAGATTTCAAGGTTTTTTAATTGCCTAAAAGCACAAACCCACAACATTCACACATTATCCAATATCACTATTTTTTTTTTTTGGAATAGGTAAATTAATTTATAAGTTGGTAAATTAATTTAAATGCAGGTAAATTGGTATAATATTTTATAAGTAGGTAAATTAATTTATATGTAGGTAATTACATGATTCAAACAATATTATTTTTTTAGGTAAATTACATAAAATTACCTCAACTATGGGTCGAACTACAATATCATACCTTATGAGTTAAAAATGACAATATTATACCTTACCTTATAAATTTGTTACAATGTCATACCTCTATCATTTTGTTTGTTAATTTTTCTATTAAATTCTGACGTAACCTGAGACATGATCCATTCCCCAGCCCAGTGGATAAAAATATTAATAAATTAAAAATAAATTATTTTAATATTTTTATTTAAAAACATGTGGAACCCACCCCGATAATTCTCTCACTTTCTCCTTTTTTTCCTGATCCAATTAAACCAAAAATTCAAACCAAACCCAATTACCTCTGGCTGGTACTGCAAGTCTGCAACCCATAGAACCTCATGGATGGGCTCTCGATTGCAGCCACCGAGCCTCTGCACAATCAACTAAAGCCCGTAGCAAACGCCGAGCGCGAACACGCCGCTGGCTTCAACCCACTCGGTGAACTCGGCCGGGAAGCTGGGGGAGTCTAGGGTGTGGACTAAGTGGGGCCCACCAGAGAAGATTACGACGTGGGGGTTGAGGTCGATGATGGATTTGAGAGGGCTTGTGTCGGAGATGCAGAGGCAGAAGACGGAAATGGATCAAATTCGACGGGTGATGAGGTAGGTGTATTGGGAGCCATAGTCGAGAATCAGGACCAGCTCCAATTTCACGGCTTTTGGGTCCATGGATTTGGCAGCGGTGGGTGAGATGAACCTAGGGTTTATGCGAAGGTATGGGGGAGAAAGGGAGAGTTGGAACGGATTAGGAAAAAGGGAAGAAAAGGAGAAAATTATAGGGGTGGGTTCCACATGTTTTTAAATAAAAATATTAAAATAATTTATCTTAAATTTATTAATATTTAATTAATATTTTTATCTACTTAGCTAGAGAGTGGATCATGTTTCAGGCCACGTCAGCACTTAACAGAAAAATTAACAGACAAACTGACATATGTATGACATTGTAACAAATTCGTAAGATGAGGTATGACATTGTCATTTTTAAAACATTAGGTATGAGATTATAGTTCGACCCATAGTTGAGATAATTTTATGTAATTTACCGTATTTTTTTCTGTACAAGATATGTATATTTTTTTTTAATACGGTAAATTAATTTATATATGTTACTAATGTTTATGATACAAGAAAGGTAAAATATCCATATGGATTTAATTGCTCATCATAATTAGGATGAGTAATAACATTTATTGACCAAATTAGGATTTTGTGCATAAATTGTAAATGTGTTGTAATAGTTGGTTATATATTTGTCTACATGGCAGTCTATTTGAAATTTGAGTTTTATTTGAATGTTTAAAATTAAGTAGATTTGTGTTTGAAAAATAGGAGTTTCAATGACCTATATCTAAAGAACCCATTCAATAATCTAGTAACGTAACATATCAAACATTTAGGACAAGAGAACGCTACTCCTTAACTAAATATATTTCAATAAAAATCAAATTTCATTATCGGCTTTATTAATTGCAATATGCCTTTCTCCCATTTATCAGGATACTGTGTCAATGCAAAATCAGCTTGATACTACAGCATCCTATATAAAGCAACTGAGAGAGAGAATAGAGAATTTGAAGGAGCGGAAGGAGAAAGCAATGAGGTCACAATTAGGCAGTTCTAATTCTGACATTGGTGCTATTGCTGCCGAAAATGCTGTAATGACGGGATCAAGATTACCAGTTCTTGTATTACGAGAATCGGGTTCCTGCATAGAAGTTATGCTGATTAGTGGGTTGAATAAGAACTTCATGTTTTATGAAGTCATCCGTGTTCTTCAGGAACAAGGAGCTGAAGTTGTCAGCGCTAGCTTTTCCACTGTAGGCGATAAAGTTTTCCACTCGGTGCATGCTCAGGTACTAAAATAATCATCCGAGAAGCTAATATCGTCCAATCCTTTATTTTAATCTTAAAAAAATGTACCAAAACAATTAATTAAGGTCATTATGAAACGGACTTATCAATTTTATTTTTTATGCTTCTTTGTAGGTCAAAATTTCTAGAGTTGGAGTAGAGATTTCAATGGTATGGCAGAGACTACAGAATTTGTTATACTGAGTAGCTAGCTTTAGCTCTTGAAAACTGAAGATTTATAGATAATGTTTTAGCAACTGCATCATGAAAGAGCTCCGGAAGGAGAGGCGTAATTTGGATACAGAAATTGATGTTCCCTGTTTCCTGGGCGAGCCATTGAGTTAATAATCAATGAATCTATTAATATATATAGATGTGATCTAGTGTTAATTTTTTGTTTATTGTCCTTTTTCTAAATTGGTCTCAAAGTATTGATTCTTAACCATCTTTTTAGAAAATAATTAGATAATTTCATGTTTACACACAAGATTACACATAGAGGGTGTTGAATCCTTAATGATGCTACAACAGCATAATATTCTTCCTCATGGAATAAGGATTAATTAATGATCATAAACAAGTTTCAAACTCGCATCTATATATAGTCATTGCCTTACATTAATAGAGGAAGTGAAGTTTAGGGTTTTGAGAGGAGGAACGTGGTTGGAGAGAAGAAAGGAAAGCTAGGGTTTTGGGTTTGTGCAGCAGAGAGGCAAACCTATACCACGTAGAACTGTGTAACCACAGTGCAAACGTCCATTATCTATATACAAAGGGAGCACCTAAAATGGTGAAGCATTCAAATACCATAAATTGTCCCTCAAGAATTCAAAAATTGCAATTGTATTAAAAAGAGTTAGCCAAAGGCGAATTTGAACCATATTATTGCTAGCCCATTGTGAGGCTTAGCCTACTCCCCCACCCTCATAGCATAGTGTAGATAATATTGCTTATTAAAAGGCATGGATGTTTGATCTAGAAAATTCATGCCTTTTAGTGATTTGATTAAGCTTTTTTTTGTCATAATTTTGGTGCTATATGCACATTATATTGTAACAAATTTCCTATAATCTAGCCTTTTGATTACACTCTCCTCTGTTAGATATTTAAGATATTTTAGCAATAATTATCTACGATTTAAGATATTTTCTTTCCAAAATAGTTTAAAATATTTTAAATCCCCCAAAATCAAACGTACCGAAATAAGTTTTTTTTAGTACGTTAAAAGAAAATAGGATTGAGAATAATATAAACGTACCAAAATAAAAATAATTTACTAATATTAACAATATGTATCAAATCAAACGTACAAAAATTGCCAATAAACGTACCAATTAATGATTTTTGTAAATTCAAATGTACTCGCAAATAATATATACGTAATGTATTGTACCTAATAATAATTCGTCAACAACTATACTTAAAAAAACAGCAAAAAAAAAAAATATATATATATATATATATAATTTCACAAAAAAATTGAAAAAATTACACGGAGGTTTTATGTTGATCACCAACTATTTGAAAAAGAAAAAACCATTTGGAAAAAGAAATAATATTAAATGTTTGCATAACAAAAAAAAAAACTGGGATCGAAAAAGCATATTTTGGAAGAAGAGAAAATATAGTTTAATTACTAATATCTCCACTAAATAAGAAAAAGTGCATCATGCAGATAAAAGGATAAATTTAAAAAGTATTTAAATTTAAAAAAATAGATGTGACTATTGGTCAACATACTTTAATCAAATTTTAAAAAGATACAGATATTTAATCTAAATGATATAAAAAAACTGTAAGAAATTATAATTTTTCCTAAATTTTAAATTGGAGTTCGTGCTGAAGCTTGGTTGATAGAGTTTCAGAAGTGGCAGAATGCACGGGCAGTGAAACAAAGTCGAAGGAAGCAGTCGTGGCAGAAACCAGAATTAGGATGGGTTAAATGTAATTTTGATGGAGCGTGGGAGGAAAGAACGAAAAGAGGTGGTGTGGGTGTGATTATCAGAAACTGTAGTGGTGAATTTTTGGCTACATATTCCGGTCAGACTGTTGGGGTGTCATCACCGTTGCACACAGAGTTGTTGGCTGCGCAAGCAGTGATGTTTGTGAAAGACCATATTGCAGGAGATGGGGGGTGCATATTGAGGGATACTCTACCATGGCCATGGCAGCCATGCAAAAGAAGGAGGAAGATTTCTCTCCTCTGGGACCAATTATTAATGATATAGGGGATTGCTTACACGGGTTATCTTATTCACGATTTAAGGCAGTGTTTAAAATGGCAATATAGGTTGAAATAGCCCAAAATTTAGCATAACTCATGTTCAAATCAACACAGCCCAAAACACCATATTGAATCATAGCCCTACACTATAACTACCACCATGAATCAAAAGTACACCACCATAGATTCCACCGGATCTAAGGCAGTGTTTAAAATAGCAAATAGGTTGAAATAGTGATATGCAAATTTTTAGAATTATCAATGGATATATCGATATCCGTTACCTTTAACAAAAAATTTGGAAATTTGCAATGGGTATACCAATTCGTTCAGATTTAGACAAAATTAGAGAAAAATTTCTCAAAAAAATTTACAAGTTTGGAATCTACAATGATTCAAGCAACATTTTGTGTATTGAATCGGTAAATATCATCGATATTCATTGATTTTTCTATATCGCCGATATAGGGTGAAATTTGCATTTCACCCAATTTTCATCCCCCTTTCCATATCAATCCCTGACTTTCAGATATTTCGACGAAAATATCGACAATTCTGTTGATATTTTAAACGCTAGATCTAGGCAAGAAGAACTTGTTGAATAATGACGAATATGAAGAAGATCAATCTCCAATGATTCATCTACGAATAATAGCAGATAAGAGTCACTAATAGAAGAACAATTAATTACATGGTACTGGTACACCATTGTGGCGTCTCATGCTATTGAAATAAAGATATGTGAAGATCCACACATCAGCAACCACGTGGAGCCAAATGAACTTACCCTACACACAGGGCCAAGGGACCCACCATCATCGCGCGGGGCCAAAGGGACCCACCCATCACGTGGTAGTACAGGGCCACTACCTGACTCTGATACCATGTAGAATTATCAGAGAGACGGGTCAAATGTCCACTTCCAACAACACCGATAATGTCCCCAACTTGGTAATTACCACCTGCACAATCCGTCAGGTGTGAAGTTTTATCACAAAATGTCTCGGTGTTAGTTAAAATGGAGTTAAGATATTAAGGGCCCCCTCCCTGACTCTGATACCATGTAGAATTATTAGAGAAACAGGCCAATGGGCCACTTTCAACAACATCGATATTGTACTCAACATAGGAGAAATTTTCAATGCGACCGGAATATGAGTGGTACATCACGTGTTTTTATATAAGTAGTGAAGAATTTTAATATTTAAGTTATTAACATTTTAACACACATATCCCACAATTTGTACAATGACACGTGGTGTACCACCCCGGTCACACTGAAAAATATCTCCTAACTTGGTAATCACCACCTGCAGAATCCGTCAAGTGTGAAGTTTTATCACAAAATGCCTCGGTGTTAGTTAGAGTGTGGTAATTTTATTTCAATTGCTCTTCTCCTTTTCCTCTAGCCGATGTGGAATTCAACACTTTTAAAATAAATAAAAACATTTTTGGTGAAAATGTTTTTAGAACTAAATCCTTAGTAAAAACGCAAACACATTTTTTTTTCTAAAAACGATTTTAATCATTTTAAAAATATTTTCAAAAAGAATTCTTTAAATATATACTCATATAACAAAAAATTTCCCTACAATTATTTTTTTGTTGAAAAGTCTGATGGCAATGAATGCCCACACAGTATGTTAGCAAAAGTCTTCAGCATGGGCAGAAATTTTCAATGCCCATGCAAAGTGAAAGTTGAATACATAGAGATTGTATAGTCAGACGAAGTGTCGTAAAATTTCAAAATGCATTAACTGCATCAGTTTGGAGTTGCTCTATAAATAGAGCACTCCGCATGTTTTTAAGTTACAAGGAAAGAAAAAAAGAAGTGAACAAGAGAAAAATATCAGTAACATCATCTATTTTCTCTGCTTTTATTTGTTATCTGTCTGTGCTATAGTTTTAGTGTGGCATTTTACATCTACCTTGCACCTACCATTAAAAAGGTTATTCCACCTTTTTATAACATTTTTAATATTTCAAAATCAAGGCCGAGTCTTCGGATGGAGAGAACTAATTTGTCAAATAAAGAATAATAATTGGGAGGGACCATCTGACCATATATTTTTGTGAAAATATGTCTCAGTTCAAAAAAATCTCAGTTATATAGTGAAACCCAGAATGGACTAATACTAAATAGTCAAGTGCACAGAATTTAGGTTAGCATCTGTCGTGGTCTTATCCCCGTAAACCTGTTGCTGGCAACACTTTGATCCATAAGATACATGACATTACTTTTCTATAACACACAATATTGACATTCAAATTCAACAGGTGGACCCATTAACGAATTGTGTTACAAAAGCAAATTATCGTGAGAGAGAAGTTTGCTGCAAGGGCTGCATCTGGAAGCCATGATATCATGAATAAGGCTCATGATTAAAAGCCTTTATTAACGTTTAATTAAAGGCTTATTTATAAAGTCTAGCTTGACTCAAGTAACACATCCAGCCAAATCATGTCTGGTAAGACCTTAATTAGTGTTTGTTGTTGATAAAATATTAATGGATAATGCTAGGGAGATTAATTTTTTAAATTAAATTTTGTAAATTATATGATGCGATTGTTAATGACTGGATTATTATTGAAGTGTTGATTAATGTGTTTAATTTATATTGGTGACACATCATACTACTTATAAATTTAGTTTAAAATTTTGATCTACCTAGTATTATTCAAAGTTATTAGAAGATATAACACTGAACATGAGGGGCTAAGTGGCAGTTGGTCTACTAATATTAGATAGTGTATTTATTGTTGGAAAATACATGGGCACTCATTAGCAAGTACGCACATTTTGATTTTGTCTAATAATATTTTAACACATATTTGAGGGTCCCATCAGGTTTAATTGTAATTGTAACCTCATACAACTTCTTCAAAACATTTCAGTCTCATGCATTTAGTATAATTTTATTTCAATTTCATAAAACCGTTAGAAAATTTGTTAAGTTTGCCGTTAAGTGATGACATAGGCGAAATAAAAAAAAATGAATTACATAAAATAATGAGCACTTAAGTATTATCCTTTATTGTTTGCTGCTTCTTTGATGGCGGCCAATAGAGAATAGCCGTGTGATGCTCTTCTCTGTTATTTGGTTTGGTGTAAAGTGTAAGTAACAAAGCAGAGCCGTGCTGCAT